TCCGTATAAGAGGCTTATATACCTAAAGACTAGATTTGCTCGGTCAACGGCGTACAAAGAAGAAATCCGTATAAATTGGAAGGTCTTTACTATGCAGAAACCAACCGGTAATATTGAGTAGTGGCTTCAAAAGTAGAATTTACTAAGAGAGTAAGCTATTAGCCTCGGCATTAGCGATATAGATTCCAATCGAGACTTCCTATATGTAGTTAAAGAGGTACTGCCAATCTAGTGGCAAGGAAAATACTAAGAGATTGTTATAGATAAGAAGAAATATAACACTCGAGATCTTCTTGAATTATTCCGTATAATAAATCGGGAGATAGGCGTCAAAACTATGACCTCAACTAATACTCCAAAAAGTGCTTTTTCAACCTAGCAAGGTCATCGAGAAGCAAAGCCGGAAGCGAAGTAAGAGAAGCTTCCATTCGAGAAGAGAAAATGTCTATATGGTAATGGTTATCCATACCACAAGGTAGCCAACTGCTAGCTTATAAATGAAGCTATACGCCCAGAAGGATATACCCTAAACGAAGGGAAGCTAGAGAGAGCTAGAAAGAAGCTAGCAAATAATCCAAGGTGGAAGCAATAGGTCGACAAAGCTGTCAATAAAGCTAAATCAAAGCATCATAAATCTACAAACCACGTTAGCTTCGCCACCACCTACCAGAGTAAGCAACAGGGCAGGCCTCAGAGTAGGCCTCAGAGCAAGCCTCAGGGCAAGCCCCAGGGTAAGCACCAAGGCAAGCTACTAAGTGAAGCTATATAGATTGGCAAGTATACACTCTCAGCTGTAAAGACTGGCGAGCTCTCTCTCCGCAATCGATAGATTCTTAATACTAGGTCCAGTTCATATATATACAATAATAGAGCACTGTTTATTAATTTTACGCCGGAAGTCATAGATTTGACAACTGGTAACAGTACTACGCAGGTACTAGGGAGAGGCAAAGTTCGACTAGTCGGCAAGCATCCACAGAAAGGGAGAATAGAAATCACATTAAGTAATACTCTCTACTCGCCTAGCTTCTATATAAATCTAGTATCGTACGCGATACTAAAGAAGAAGGGGGGGCACCTAGTATCAACGTACAAACTACATCCGAGATCCAAAGGATCTACCTATTGTTAATATATATCTATAGGACTAGTTTAACCTCTGGATTTTCGATAAACCAGGAGAGGTTCTACCGCAACAAGCATATACCGTAAGCGTAAGCTCACTAGTACCGGTACTAAGAGTATCAAGAACGTCAGTAAAGCCGCAGAAATCAGAGGTATCCCCCGACGTCTAGCACCGAAGACTTACTTATATTAAGCCCCGTACTATAGCTAAGCTTACTACTATAGTAATAGTATAGTCCTCTAGGAAGTAGAGTAAGAAGAAGCTTTATTATACTAAACCTATCATATTAGGAGAGCACTAAAACAGATCTCTCGCCGGCCAATAGGACGTACTTTTAGACGATTTAGAAGGATCCACTTTGATCTCATATAACTGCCGCTAGTATACAATAGATACCGATAGATATCTCATTTCTATATAGAAGGAGTACGATTCCATTGGATAATAATATATAAAGTGAAGCCTAAATACCAGCTAGCGATCAACCAGTTCGTATAGCTAGTAAGGAATCAGTAGAATCTACCTATCAAGGCATTTTACTATAACAATAAAGCTGCAGCAGGCAAAACAGCGGAGCACAGTTTGACAAGCGATAGTATCTTAATATATCATACTCTACCCAGCCACTCAGAGATAAATAGGTATACCGAGAGATCTAGCGGGATAATTATTACCCATATACGTATACTCTCTCTTAAAGGCAAGCTTCCGAAAGACCTATAGCCTAAATTTATAAGCGCTGCAGTATGGTTATTAAATCGTACCCCTATATATATTACTTCTGAGAACAAGTGGTTAATACCATAGGAAGAAGTAAGAAGAGAATTTGCTCCAACAGCCCCAAAGATCAATCTAGCAAATATTAGATTATATAGAAGCTTAGCGTACTGTCGTATTAAGAAGCAGGTTTAGTCAGATAAGATGAATCCAAGAGCAGAGGTCGGCTTCCTAGTCGGATACTTAGCATCTAATATCTACAAAATCTAGTTTCCACACAGTAGGAAAGTAAGGTATATACGAGATGCAGTCATTAATAAAGCACGTAAATACTCGCCAGACTATAAGAAATCTCAGCCTATTCCACTACCATTAGTAAGAGAGCCAGAAGAGATTACGCCCAACGAAGTAGCGCAAATCATCAACCATCAGATCGCTAGCCAGGAAGCAACTAGTACGCCGGAAAGTAAGCATCAAAACCGACAAGATGAAACCGACGATACTCTACCAGATACTCTTCCAGATACTCTACCAGATACTCTACCAGATACTTCACAAGATATTCAGCTAAGTGAGGTTGACTACCGAGAGATCACCCCACTTCAGGGGGTAAGCAGGTAGGTATTAATACCTACCCCAATAAGCCTACCACCTATACTTCTAACCTCGGTCAGAAAAGAAGCCGGTAAGATCCAGGACATACAGAAGGATCAAGATCCATCACCATTAACCCCACCAAATGAAGAAACTGGCTTACAGCAAGGGGTAGAAACTGGCCCTGATCAGGGGGTAGATACGCATAATCTAGATAATCAACTGCTCAGTAAAGATCAGGCCCATAAAGAAGCCTATAAAGAAGCCAATGAAGAAGCTAATAGAGAACCTAATAAAGAACCCAATAGAGAGGTAGAAAATGAGCTAGAAAGACAGCTCCAGGCAGAACTGCTAGCACCAAGCAGAGAGATCTCCAGCAATATAGATACCAGCAACATACTAAGTAGACATCGAATACGCAAAGCAAAACAAGATAACGATTTTGCATATACAACCACTATAGTACAGGGTATTGACGAAGAAGAGCCACCGGCTCTACTACATACATTTGCAGCTAGTCTATACGCCGAGAAACCAAACGCTCGCCGCCATCGAGATAATCTCCCACCACCACCCAAGTACTGGAAGGATATCATAAATCATCCTTTTCAGCAAGGTTTTCTCGTAGCAATAAAGAAAGAGATCCACTCTCTATCTGAAAAAGAGACATTCGAAGTCATTAAAAAGCCAAAGGATCAAGGGATACAAATCCTTCCCTTACTATAGGTTTTTACATACAAATTCGACCAGGACGGTTACCTTTTAAAATTAAAGGCTCGAATCTGTGTTCGTAAGGATCTTAAGACGATTACCTATAAAGAAAAGAGAGCTACTACGCTAGCAGCAAGAACAGTAAGAATAATCTTTACACTAGTCGCTACCTTTAACCTAGACCTCCGTCAGCGAGATACTGTCACTACATTTCTGAATAGCAAGCTAAGCCAAGAGAAACCGACGTATACGCAGATACCAGAAGGGTTCCAGTCCCTAGGTAAATACTAGAAGCTTCGTCGAGCATTATACAGCTTACGGATCTCGCCACGTCTTTAGCAACAAGAAGCAGCTAGTGTACTCCGAAAACTAGGTCTGCAACAAGCACCAGAAGACCCTTATATCTTCGTCGGAGAAGGGCTAATAGTCTTCTTCTATATAGATAATATCTTAATTGCTAGCCATACAAATACTAAGGCAAGAGCTATGTAATTGGAGCGAGATCTAGAAGCCCACTGGGAGCTAACAGATCATAGAGAAGCATCATAGTTTCTCAATATCCGAATCATTCGCGATAGGAAGCAGAAGAAGCTCTAGCTATATCAAGATAGCTATATAACAAGCATTGCTACCCGCTACAATTTGACAGATCGACCACCTGTCTATACGCCACTACCAGTTAACGAATTAACGCCTTACCAAGGCGTAGCCACCCCGAAGGAGATCCTTCTCTATCAAAAGAAGGTTGGATCCGCAGGCTATGCCACCACTATCACTAGGCCAGATACTGCAAAGGCCACCGCTCGACTAGCTCAGTTCTTGACGAATCCAGGGCCCCAGCACCACCAAGCAGCTGACCGGGTCATCAGTTACCTATATACTACCCGGAACCTAGCTATTGAATATAGTGCAGACGCAGTAAGCACTAGAATCGATTCCATACAGTTCGCAAGCGATACTTCATACGGAGATCACCCAGATCGAAAGAGCTCTGTAGGCTACATCTGTCAAGCTTATAGTAGACCAGTTGACTGGAAAGCGAGTAAGCAACCCACCGTGACAACGTCAACCACTGAAGCAGAGCTGCTAGGCCTATCAGAGACAGGGAAGCAACTTCAATGGTAGCGTCGACTACTAAAAAGCCTCGGTTTTGAACCCTCCCACAATATGACGATCGACTGCGACAACGAGAGAACGATCAGCCTACTTACTAGTAAGAACACTGCCTTCGAAACGAAGCTTCGGCATGTCGATATTCATCATCATTGGCTTCGGCAAGAGGTTAGAGAAGGACGCATAATGGTGCGATGGGTGCCGACGGCGAGCATGGTTGCAGATGGACTCACAAAGATGCTATCTCGCCAGAAGCATGAGAGCTTCCTAAGGATGCTCAGGATGGTGGACATAGGCTATCTAATGGCCTAGTCAATTAAACCATGGAGATCAATATGCCGATCTAACAAGTCCAGCAATCCCATACTGGGATAGCTGAGGGGGTGTGTCGGAGCATGACGACCGGCATACCGGGGGATTTATTAATCCTACACATTTTTGTAATTAATGTTATGTAATCATGGCTCCATATAAATTGTACCAAGAGCCGATACAGAAATACAGAGAGTTGAATACCACTGATTGGACCCCTACATTTACAATACAGACCAATCCGACAATACAACCCCGCGATTTGTCCCTAGTATTATTTCTTTTCACCTGTCAGTGATACCATACCGTAGTTTTCTGTCAATTTGATAGCCCCTTAGCTGGCTCACTTTGAATTACTCACCAACTATTCTGGTATTTCTTTTGCTACCATCCCGATAGCCATAGCCTTTGGCCTTCATAAGCTATAATGGCGGCGAAGGAATTGGTCAATGATATGAAGCTTAGCGCGAAGGTTACAGCGGAGGGTACTTACCATGACACCTTCGAGCCAGTCTTTAGTCGAGGTACTGGTGGGCGGTGGTCACAGAGGAAGGAATTATGGAAGAAGGAGAGGCCATTAGGCCACGGAACGTATGGAGATGTATGGCTTGAACGGTACACAGCCAGTGAAACAAAAACGAAGTTCCGCGCCGTGAAGACTATAAGAAAGCTGAAAGATACTTCCCATTCGGATTACCTGACTCAAGAACTAGAAGCGCTCGCGAAGTTCTCTTAACAAAAGGCAAGACATATGCCCGAGTCTATTGATGCCAGGCGACAAATACTAACGTGTACCAGTACACGGGGCTCTTTGTCAAGTCATTGGGCTGGTTCGAGACTGAAGATTCGATATCGATTATAATGGAACATATCAAGCTAGGAGATCTATCTGCTCATTTGAATGGTCCAATGCCGGAATATGAGGCACAACAAATCTCGATCCAAATTCTGCGGGGTCTAGATCACCTTCATGCCAACCACTTCGTCCATCGAGATTTAAAGCCTGCAGTAAGTCAGCAACCGGCGCAACTGGCACACTTTCCGTTTCTTTGTTTATGTCTTTTCATACAGAAAGACAACTGAAAACTAATAATTTGTTAGAATGTTTTTGTAATGTCGGCTGGTCCTCTTTGGTGGGTCAAGATTGGAGATTTCGGCTTCAGTAAACGTTACGACGAAAGCCTTGATCTAAGGTCAAAGGTGGGGACACCGCTGTTTCAAGCGCCTGAAATCATCGGAATCTTTCAAGCTGAACACGGAGTAGATTCCAAAGCCCAGCCCCATTATACAAGTGCAGTCGATATATGGGCACTGGGTATCATAACTTACTACATCCTCTCTTCAACCTATCTGTTCCCCAGCCTCGGCAGTTTGTGGTCATATACTAGGCAGAAGCCCCACTGCTTCCCACCCTCGCATACTCAAGCAATGTTCTATAATTTGAGCACCAAAACCCAAGGTTTCTTAGCATCCCTGCTGGCAGTGGATGCGTCTTCGAGATCATCCGCTGCAGAGGCGCTTGGAAGTGATTGGCTTGAATGTGTCTCAGATCCAACCCCCCTAGGAACTAGTCCAGAGAGCCCACTCAGCTTGAACAAAGGCCCCACCGCAGAATCATATGAGAGAAGGGACTCTGAAGGGGATCAAATTCAAGCTTCTACCGTGTCCCAAGAAGCGTCAAAGGGGTGGAAAGATATGGACATTTCCTCTGCTAGTATCTTCCATGCCCATACTTTCAAAAAATCAATATAGTCTCGGGTCTAATATTCTTATGCACAATATCAAGGATATGGACATAGGTAACCGATATCGCAAGCTGTCTTGCAAGACTAATCTTCTCATTTAGAGAGTACCTTGTTTGAGAGAGGAGGTTACTTCGAAGGCTTTGAGGATAATGGTGGCCTTGGGGTGTCCAAGAGATAAAGCCATAGGATAGGGGCTTCTGTGTTTTGCGGTCTTCTGCTCGAACCACTCCATGGAATTTAAGATGAAATCCAGGATCAGCTTTCTGCAATCGTATCGCAAGACCATGATTCTCAGCAGTGAGCCAGTGACTTGAACCCACTTCAAATAGAGATCGACAGTAGCAATAATCGCTAGACCAAGTTCCACACTACTCATGGTAATTTGCTTCTAATTGAGTAGTGTCTTATATAGTGAATCGAAAGTCGTACTCGTCTATTTCTGTCATATGTTACTAATAGAATTCGACTTGTCTTCCTGTGAAATGCTGAGCTGGGTATATGTAGTTAGGGGGGGTGCTGTTCTAAGACACTAGGGACCAGCAAATGTAGATGGGAACGGGAAATATAAATCTTTAGAGATTATATTAGGAATATGTAAGGTTATTTAGGTTAGTATTTTATGGCGACCTGCATAACTATGGTAGTTCTAAACGTTGGCATCTTGGTGTCGTCTGCATTAGTGGTTCTGGGGACTGCGTGATGATTATAGAAGTGTCAAATTATCCACACTGCGGCTCAGTGGTTTAGTGGGATAATTCATCTTTCGGGAGAAATCTCTGATTTCAAAAGAAATTACCTAATTTAGATGAGGTCCCGGGTTCGATTCCCGGCTGAGCCCCATTTTTTATCTTTTTATTTGGTTAGTAATCTAACTGTTATGTATTTACAATATTTTTCAAAGGTTACTATTCCCAAGGTTATTATTTATTATATGAGAGCTTATGAGGAGGGGCCGGAGTAAACTATGGATCACTCAAATACCGCGAGGTATGAGGAACCTATAAATCTGCGGGAGGTGGAGGCCGATTTACATGTCAGAACTGATTCACTACTCTGAACTTGGCATTTCTTTTTCCTGCAATAAAATTACAATGGATTCAGCTTCTTCAATTTAGTCCAATTACATTTTTGAGACGAAGACATGAGATAAAAGAGACGAGTATATTTACCTAAATAATACAGTATACCTGCTGATTGTGAGTAGGGCCCAGAAGCTTCTACTTCAGAAACCTCGCAGTGAGCTAAACGACGTTGCGCGCCATCGAAAGTGCTGTGAGGGGGCTTTGTGCCATAAGAGTGAAACTCTTTCATCTTCGGCTTTCATATTAGTCTGGTACACCTGCCTCAGTTGTAGGATTAGGCTACAAGGGGTCGATATTTAAGACTACACTCGAGGTTCACTAAGGTGATTTGCTACTTAGAAGTTCCCCCATCATCCTCACCATAGAGAGGTCTTAAGGGGCCACCCCATTCAGAAGAGTGGCAATTCTAGGCATTTGCCCAACACGAAATTCGTCAAGTATGGGATTGGAGACATTGGGATGAATCCTCCAGTTCTATACGAAAAGAACTGTCCTTGCAATGGGGCCCTCGGAAGCAAGCGTTGTTGCATCAAGGACGTGAATGCGTTGTATGACTAGCTGCATGTGGTAGTATGATTAAAATCCCGGCCACGGGCCACGAGTTTGCGTCCTTCTTCACTTTCTTCCGCCACCTGTGCATCAAAACCTTCAGCCTCAATTATAGCTTGTAAGGACTGTTGTGCATTATCTTAGTATTCTGCAATAGTGCAAGTATTGTCTAGCAGTTGTGGCAAGCGAAGGGAAATCTTCTCCTAATTTGAAGCGAAGGTATATAAGGATGAGTCGTTGCAAATGACAAGCCGACCTAACGTACGTTTGACATGGCTTTGAACCGGAACCGAAGAGCCAATGAGGACAATCACCCAATAGACGCTCAGTGCTCGGCTGATGGACATAGTCCAATAGCTCTTGTGTTGTGGTGGCCTTAGGCCACCATAGTTGGTGTCTCAGACATCAACACCTCAGATAGTATGTAGTCAGCAGATCGGCCCCCATAGAACTAGTCTTCCGCAAAGCCCATAAATGGGCCCGAACCCCGGGCCCAAAGCCCAACCCGCAGTAGGCTGTGGGTCTAACCTTCGAAGCCTAATCCAGCCCACAGCCTATCAATAGGGGCGGGGCCCATAAGGCCCCCATTGAAGTCTATTAAAAGGGGCTCGACCGGCATCTTGTTATCGCTATGCAATATTGTATTCTGACCCTTTCACGAATCATATAAATTTCAAATTTAGTGTTAATAATAACAGTACTAGCTATAGAAGTATATATTTCAATTTTAAAGAGAATTCGACTAGCAGAGATCAAGATACTACAAAAATGGTTATTTTATTGCTTAATATATATATCTAGGATCTAGATAGGAGTACCACACTTTCTAGGTAAACTTCTGTAATTTATAAATTATGTACATAACGCGCTTTTTCGCGTTTTTTAACATGATATAAAGAGATGAGTAGCAATTGATTCCAAATAATTTAAACCAATAAAATATTACCTTTAAAATAAAGCCCAGAAACGGGGGTAAAACGAAGGGTAATTTTAAAATCCTAAAAAGGGGGTTCAACTTCTGGATTCTCGGTATATTTGTATTGTTGGGGCCCAATTGGGGGCCTATTAATTCGCAGTGGGCTTCTCCTTAGGCCTATAGCCCACCGATGGGCTCAAAGGTAGGGCCCAAAGCCCAGCCCATTTGCAGGTTGGGCTGGGCTGAGGCTTTTTGGGCTTTGCGGAGCTCTACATAGAATTCAACTCTCTCTCCACACTTTCTGGCCCCTGCATTTGTAACCTCTCAACATTTTGTCTTTTTGTTACAGGAGTCGCAGGGGTCAACATTAAAATACCTGACGACCACAGGCTCTGATTGCCGCAAATTCAGAGACAATTTGTTCTAGTTGGCCTTCCGTAGATAGTGATGAGTTTTCTTGCCATTACTCCTTGAATGTTGTTAAAATATGCACATACCATAAAACGCCCAAGAATTTACCAAAAGAAACAAACCAGCCTGCCAAGCCCGTAAATCCACCATATTGAAACTAGAACAGCTGCCCTTGCGAAAAAAAAACACGGGAATTATGGGACAGAGTGCGAGTGTGCGATTTAGTGATTGTCTCGGTACATACCTGAGATCGGGTTCTTGGTAGGGGCTACCGCAGAGCTTATCCTTGCTTGTCTCCAGCGGTAGGCGCCAAGTGGGGAATATCTTAGAACCACGAGCTTGACATTTGAAGCCGAAGGAGGGGTTGGCAAAAGTTGGGGATTGGATTCGAGAGGGAAAGGAAGCGAAAGAGAAGCTCTTAAATTTGGGGTCTGCCCCGCGCTAGTGCTGTGGACCACTGCACTACAATGTACTCCGTACAAAATCAAACAAAGAACTCTCATCCGCCAAGGTCACTAGGCCCGGCTAAATATAAGTAGCATATCGCGTGCGAGAACTAATTAGGTGATGCGGCCAATGACATACCAAGGACAAACCACCTCATGCAACTAAGAGATAGCTCTAAGCTATCGTGCGTATCTCGTAATGACAACAAATGGCCCGTCTGAGGGATACGAACTATCTACAAATCAATGGACGGCTCTGAGTGCTATGATCGCTAGGACGACTAGGATTGCTTAGTATCAGGGCAGTGCGCGGACTAACTATGTGGGGCTCATTGCCCTGAACTTTGATTCCGATATTGGGGCTGTCTCTGTGTATTTGCCCGTGGGTGATTCTGTCAACTTGTATGAATTTAATTGAGTTTGATCGCGGCGCCAAAGCATTCTAGACTACTCGAAAGTACGATTGCCGGAGTGTAACCTAAGACATCCCTAGAACCCGAATAGGAACCCAGTTATGTCCATTTTTTGTAGACATTTACGGTTGAACCTACATATGAGTGTCAATCCCCCCGGCTTTGGATGTTTCGGATCTGTACACACCTATCCGCTGGTCAGCACATCGATCGTTCTTCTACAATGCGCGTGTTGTGGACTTTATCGGCACTCGCCCTCTCAGCCCAAGCCGTCAAAACAAGTGGGTGTCCTCTTCTGGGACCAGCTTTTCCTGCCCCTACCGCTTTGTCAGAGGATCCAACATTTCTCAGTAAAGCTGAGGAGCTGACCTCAAAGCTCAATGGTGCCATTGAGGATGGAACTCTGCCTTCCATATCTTTCGCAGTGCAGGTCTTCAGCAGCGAGGAGGATGATTCCGCCTTCGGTTTCTACCACACAGATGATCCAATTAAAACAGGATCTGTGGGGGTTCAAGAGGTAGACGAGAATACCGTGTTCCGCATTGGCAGCATATCAAAGTTGTGGACTATGTTTCTCCTCATGGCCTTGGGAGGAACACGGTACTTCCACGAGCCTGTTTCGAAATACGTCCCTGAGCTGCAAACAAAGTATAGCCCAGCACAAGAAAAGGACAAAATTAATTATTTGCAATGGCGCGATGTGACGATTGGCGAGCTGGCTAGCCACCAAGCTGGCCTTACAAGAGACTGTATGATACTGATACCCCGATGATCCAAATGCGCAATACAAAAAGAAACTAACCCTGGATTCTAGATGCATTTGGAGACCTTGGATTCCAGTCGGACCTTCTTCAAAGCTTGGGTTTCCCTTCGCTTTCAAAAAATGAGCAACTGACTTGTGGGAATAAGGATACGTGCGATAGGGAAGGTGAGTCAACCTTGGAATTGTGTTTGCTTACATTATCGCGCGAATTGTTTGGCTGATAGAGGGAATGTTTTCAAGAATTTTTCCACGGCATTTTAGAAACGCGTGAGTAAGGTAATTCCCATGAATCTGGATATACCCCTAACATGGTCTATTAGATCCCTTGACTCCGACTTCACAGACACCGATATACTCGAACGCGGGATATCAAATTCTCGGCTATGTATTGGAGTCAATCGCAAAAGCCGACTATGAAGACATATTAATAGACCGTCTTATCAAGCCGCTCAATTTGACTCGGTCCAGTCTTCATGTCCCGGACCCCAGCTTCGCGGTGATTCCCCACAATGAGACTTTCAGTTGGTTTAATTATGAGTGTGGCGACGAATCTCCGTGAGTGCCAATACGCCAGTGGACGTACCCATAGCTTACACATTACTAGTGCTGGAAACATTTTCTCTTCAGCAAAGGATATGGCCACATTCGGCCGTGCCGTTCTTTCAAGCGCCCTTGTTCACCCTGCCGAGACAAGAAGGTGGATGAAGCCCATAGCACACACATCATCCCTGCAACATTCCGTGGGCGCCCCCTGGGAAATCTATACATTTTTGACACCTCGTCGGGTTGACCTATACACCAAGGCTGGGGATATTGGACTGTACTCCAGTACTATCGCCCTTTCACCAGATCACAATACTGGGTTCACGGTTCTAGTCGCTGGTGGTAACTCACACGCGATGACATCCACCATCGGGGAGATGGTGGCCGATATTATGCTTCCTGCACTTGACGAAGTAGCCAAAAGCCAAGCCCTTGAACGCTTTGGGGGCACATATGCCTTGAAAAGCGGCTCCTCCAATTCTTCCATTACCATCACGGCAGATGACGGGCCTGGTTTGGTAGTCTCAGCATGGACGAGCAACTCGGTCGACATGATCGAGTCTTTGATGACTTTGCAAGGGGTGACAGATAGATCTGCGATAAGCATTCGTCTACAGCCTAGTGGTCTTGAGGCTCCGGGGCGGATCTCCTTCTTGGCTGTTATTTATAGCCTTGATGTCTCGGAAGATGTTGGACCCCTTGTTGGCTCCTGCTTTTCCTGGATTCTGCTTGATTCCATGGTGTATGGCAACGTTGGTCTCCCGGAGTTTGAGTTCGCGCTTGATCATGATGGGGATGCGACGAGTTTATCCCTTCAGGCATTGCGTGTTACTCTTGCTAGAGTTTAATGTACCGGCAAGCTCTCATTGGTGCATGATTCATCATTAAGTATCGAACTTGGCGGTATTTTTGTTTCTGTATATAATTATTCTACGTACCAGCCCTGGGATGTTTATTGCCTACCTAGGTATTTCTGAGCATACGCTAGGGAAAAGAGATGGTTGTCACGAATACCATCGTTCTTAGATTTTTATCTCAAAGTCTCAGAATACTTAGAGCCTTTAGTCTAACCCTGTACATAGATGGCGAGAAGGTCATGTGTCAGACGGCTATGCGTCAGACGGCAACTTATTTTGGAGACTTCAAAAGCTCAAGGCTCCCGTACAGTTCCTGCCGCCGCAGTTGCCGCGTCCTCGGAGGGAAATTTGAAGCCCAATACACTATTAGTTGCTTATGATATTTATCACATGTGTTAAAGTTCAATTAGCCTCCTTCGCAAAAGAGAAAACGTCTATGGCTAGGTATACTATTTCATACAAAACTGCCCAAGAGAGTGTTATCAATAAATCTGAATTGCTACTAGCTTGTAAATTTCAATTTGAGAACACAACAAATAAACAATCGTGTACGGTAATATTTGCTGTGGTCAACCATATTCACAGGACCTAAAGATGTTGAATCAAAGGGATTGAATCTGGCTATGCCTTGGCCTCAATCCTAGTTCACAAGCTCCCACTCCTGGCCGGCATATTGGACTTTGTAAGCCAGAGCTGGGTCACCGGTGTAGTTGGATGTAGCACTCCAATTAACTCCGAAGTCTCCATTGTAAAAGCTACCAAAAGCGAACCGGAAGGAAGCCGCAGCAGTTGACAGATGGTCGTCAGAGACACCGATGGTTTGAGTTCCATCTGGGCCCAGTGCAACCAATTGGATATCGTCTTTTCTTTCAAGAACTCGACGATCGTTTGCCGGTGCGGGCGAAGGCTTGGTAGAGTCGTCTCGATTGATTTGAAACTTGGTTGCCTTTCTGGGATCAAGAGTGATTGTTCCATTGTCGTGATTCTGAAGGAACCAGTACAAGTGGGGTGTCGACTTGGTGCGGATGTAATAAGCACCACCTGACACATATTCCACGTTGGATGTCGCGTCGTTGGGAATGATTGGCATGGCGCCAGTGGCATGGTTGTTGTCGTATCCACTGATTCGGGCAGCCATGATAGTTGGAACGAGATCCTTGGCATTTGACTCAATGAAATAGAAAGGGCGAGACTCTGGTGTAGCCTTGGTGAACGTCCAGAACTGAGGACTGTATCTCACGATATCTTCGAGCGGATTGGCAGTTCCGGTAGCTGTGGTCGTGATACACCGGTTGTAGAACTCATCCGCATAGTGTCTGTTTGGGAAGACGAGAATTTCCCGACCATTGTATTGGTCTCCAGTCCAGTTGAGGTAAACTTGATACACCATCTGGAAACAAAAGGCAGTAAGTATATGTGTTGTTCTCTTGAAGAGGACGCTACTCACCTTGCAGTTCAGTTTATATCAATGACCTTGGATAAGATTGTTACTTTCTGATGCTTTGAGGGAAGAATTCGTAATTGACTGAAGCGATATATTGGAATGTATGGGAAATAGCAGCTGCTTTATAGATGATTTCTTCGTCGGATATCCAAGTCAATTTTGGGCAGCTCTGAATGACGCCCTCAGTTTTGCGCACTGAATACGCTTGGTGCAAGGTGCATGCTCAGCTATCGATGCATACGGAGTACTCCATACTCCATTGGTGATAATGTATGATGCATGATGCATCAGTGAAGGCTGGCTGAATGATCTGAAAGCTGAGCAGAATGGCTCTTGCATATCCAGCTAGCTCATCCAAGTTGATTAACTGCGCCTTTCTGCATAATGTCACCTATCCTTACCAGCTAGGCATTACCCTGAGTGTGATGACTTTATGATACTTCTGTTTTACCTCACGATAGCGCAGATATGGTGATACTAAAGAGCTCAATATGAACTGGATGTGGATTGTTTGATCTCAGAAGAACCTAATCACATTTAAATAGACATTTTTTTGTCTTCATAGTAAACAAACTTATGTATGAAAAGTTGCATGATCTACTGAAGACCTCGGGACCCACCAGTTGGTGTATTTGGCATGGGGTTACATCGAGCTGATCGGAGTTAATTCTTAGTGACGGCAATATCCGATTGGTGTGCTCGCTTTTAACGTGTTTTAATTGGCCAAATAGTCTTGAAAGGCCCCACTCTAGTATATATACTTGTTGCGTGAGATGCTCCAGTATGGCCAGGCTGAAACGTGGAGAATATATGCGAGTTTGCCTAAAAGTGATGGTTATGCAGGGATTTCGAACCAATCAGTTGATACTCAGAGGTTGGGCTCTATACAGCATGTAAGTACGGAGTACTCCGCAATTAATGTGAGATACGCAAGTGCATTGGATGAAATCATATAATGTCATTTTAATATAAGTCTTTTGGGGCGGATGCTTATTTCCTAATGCAATGCCAGAAAATCAATTACGGCGGCCCATTTGGACAGAGTTCTCCCTATTTAATCCCACTTTGGCAAGTAAAAAGGCAGCGAAACTGCTGAAGAGAAATCCCGATCATCGTGGCTTTGGGTGCCTGATTTGATAGAGAAGTTGTAGAATGCACGTTGTAGCAGCTAGTGTGGGTAATTCTATAGCGCTTTGACAATAAGCTCGGCTCCACGTATCTATCAAGTAGAATGAAGACAGTAGCCCACTTCTGTCAAGGAATCACAGAGGAAAGAGTTCATCGATTACAAACACAATGCGCGCCGCTAAGAATGTATTCTTGATTATCCTGTGGGAGGACTAGAGATGTATCATCGTGGAACTAGTTCGTACAACTTTTCCATACCTGCATGGATTAAAAGCAAATCAATTTCTTGGATAGTCGAATACTGTCTCTCGACTACGTGTCTAATGTATCTTTGTCGTGGTCAGGGCTCTCGATCGTCGTCTTCCGAGTTTGCATAGGCAGGCCCGTGGAACTCTTCAGATTCAGCTCTAGAGTGCGTGACTCCAGTCTATTGCGTGCTACGGAGCTCTCGAGGAGAGATAACTCATGGAGTAAATTAATGATATACCCAAATCTGCACTTGAAATATTATTGGATTCAAGGCGTTGACAATACTTACTATCCTTTCTCAAAGCAGTAACTAGCTACTTTCTTACTCTCTAGGACAGCGGCAAGTGATTAGACATCGTTGCCCATAGGTCACCCATAGAGCAAATATATGTGCTATGTGTTAGATCCCTAGCTAAGGCAGACATGATCATGTGTGCTCATGTGCATTAATTTTGTTTATTGCTATAACTTCTCAGAGTCCCGAGCGGGTACCTCCAAGATGGACATCCACAAAGGCGCTAGGACAGACAAGGAATAAATGTGCCAGTTGTAAAAGAATTGAATCATCATAAAACAACCCACATTTGGTGATGTAAAAGAATACAACGACCTTTGTTTCGCCCGCTCGCCGAGCAGAGGCCCAGAGGTGGGAACTTGACTCTGATACCCCTACTTCTGTGACGACAGGAAGGAGCCGAAGGGGGGACGCAGGTATTCCTGTAACCTACTGGCTTTTTCTCAAGATAAATATCACCGTCTGAATTGAATCTTGGATTTGGTTGACAGTTGGGGTGGCCGTGGTGCGATAATTGGTCAACCACCGCCCCTGCGAGGGGGTCAGCGCGGGATAACGCTCAGGGGTCGTCAATCGGGTGATTTCGAGAAAATATTGGCGGGCAAAGCGTCCCGAGGTCGAATAACGCACTGGTCGTAACGAGAGACGACGAGGGACGTGCTACCAGGACAAACTGCCAGGAATATCTCATGGTTGTCTTGTGAGATAAGCAGGAATCTATAAAAACTGGTTAGAATAGTATGTTTGATAAGATGCATAGTCTAATTTGAATTACGAATGAAAGCAAAAACTCATCCGGTGTTGTCGTGCATGATCCATGCCACCAATTCTGCGGTCTCTTGACATGTCTGTCCCGAGGTCTGCTCTGCTTGTTCTAACAACCCTCAAAGCAGGGATGTTAGAGAGTAATGGAGGAACCACTTGATGGTATCACATGGGTAGCAATGGCTTTGAGGCCTAAGTCGAGCGCCGATAGAATGCGTGAATCTTAACTTAGGACTGTATAACAAGGGGAAAGGCACCCACTTCTACGATTAGCAAGGAATTTTGTTCTGTTGTAAATAATGTTGACGTACGCTGGGAACCAGTGCACATAAAGCTTCTATTCGGTCATTTTGGATGTCGAATGAATCAAGTTCGCTCAAGTTGGTACCCGAATTTCCCCAATCTCGCGGTCGTGCTACTTATTAGTGGCACGAGAGGATAGAGTTGGCCATTGCCAAAATGAAGCGGAAGTGCCTTTGGGATTTGGATGATATTTGACAAAGGGAGTAAAGAAGGTCGAAGAGAAATAGGTAGGGAGATGGAAGAAATTATTCGGGGCCAAGACCGCTCCTTCCCCAAAGATTGACATCGTTGAGGAACTCACGACCGTCCACGGGTACTCACTTGCGATGACATAAAGAACATAAAACATAAATATGTACATAACCTTGGAATCTCTAATCATAATATTTAGCCACCACGCCTCCAATAATAGGTTGATCTCCGACTTCACTCCTAGCCACACCTCTGTCAACTCCCTTGGCGACTCTTGCCTTCACCCACTCACCAGCAGTGATACCAACCGCGCTATTATCAGCCGTCTGATCATATCCCAGGCGATGCAACACTTCACTCACAACCGGCCGCAGCTCGAGGCTATCCTCCGGTCGAACAAAGTACAAAACACCCAGACGGTCTATGTTCCTCTGATCCGGCGGCGGTGCCACTACACGGTGAATGCTGCTTTTGAGGAAACCGTTGGTAAGGAAATGGAGCGAGTCCGCAAGATTCACCGTGATGCTCCCGGGATACGGCTTGACCCACTTCCACTCGCCCTCTGGCGTACGAACCTGCAGTGCAGCAACGGGTTGGCGGAACAGCAAGGTCAAG